TCTGTCCTCTGTGCAGTCTCCTGACGACGGACAGAGCACACTGTCCGAAACGTTGAGCCTCTCGGGTTCTTATCAGAACCACACAGACTCAAAAAGAGATATTGCATGGTGCTTGTACCGCAAGCTTTCCATCTTAGTCTCAATGCTTCCTCAGTAGCTCCCAGAAGCCCTGCTGATCCCTGCTAAAGCAGCGAGGGAAGGTGTTGCATCCGATGGCCAGTACACGTACTGTGTCCATCCACAGCACCACACCCATCCGTAGCATTGGCAGTGACATTGGAAGGGTATAAGCAGGTGTGACTGTTTCTAATAGAGATGAGTATCCTTTCAACCAATTTCAAAGATGAGAACAAACTTCTCTTGATAATTTGGGAACTTCTCGGAAAGGGTGCATTCCATCTCCACAAACAGGCAATTCACACAAAAGCCAGCACTGATAGTAAACAACAAAGCAAAGAACCAAAAGCATACTGGTAGGTGAAAATAATTTACCTAGTAGTTTGATCAGTCTAGTTAAAAAAAACACAATCAGAAAAAAAAAATAAGTCATAGCCTTTTCTTTTTAGAAATGATGTTACATGTAAGTGTGTTGCTTTTGTTCTGCTTTTGCTTGGTGTTGTTTTACAAAGGTTGGGTGGAATGTGTTGAGGGGTTTGTGCTTCTCTACGTGTCAAAATTGTATTCACTTTTTCGAATATTGCAAGCTACATGCATATTTGTTTACATGCATGGAAATTTCATACCTGTAGAAAAACACAAACACAGTATGCATTTGAAAGGCAAGTTAGAAACACATTTTATTCATAAACACTGATAGGCCTATTGCTCTTTATGGGGGAATGACCATTTACTAAATAAAGTCAGCAACAAAGTTCAAACAAGGAGCCACACAAACGAATCATCCAAACCAACCATGAACCAACAGAAACATACCACTGTGTGCATGGTCAATAAAATCAGTTGCCTGCAGTGGAACTAAGGAATTCAGTTCACACATGAATGCCTGTAGTCCCAGGCTCTGGGTTTTAATTGGTCTGGGGACATTGGAACTGATGACATTTTTCCTGGCCTCAAGATCACTTTTTTTCTGCACATTCCTGGTCTAAGTGGTTTCTTGCGTCACTGGAGCGAGAGTAACAAGTTCCTGTTGGAAAACTGCCAAAGTACACCACAAGGAGGCTCTGATGGTGATTCCACTCATTCAGCAGGGTGTGTTAACCTACATGTACGGGTACTTGTACCCATGTCCAGTGTACATACATGTACATGTATGGGTTGATGTGTAGTCACTGGAAGAGGGGAGAGGCTACATATGAACAGCTAAAATCTTTCTTCAGCCAGTCTCATGTTATTGGTATATTGTGGGAAATTAACCTGGGAAAGAGTTCTATACAGGGACAACACTTGAGACCCTGTGCACAAAGTATGGGACTTGTTTGAAAAAACCTAAAGTGTCTTCTAAGTAAATGCTTCTGAATTTTCTTAGCTGAATTTCACTTTTTAGGCCATTTTATCACTTTCTGATGTACACGTAACATTTTAAGGGAAAATTAGTGTTGTTTGTACATGTATATGGAACTCTTTCCTTAACCTGAGTTAAGGCAATGACAAATCCACGATTTTAGATACTCTGTTACCCCTGTGTAATGGATGTTTCACCCTCAGCTTTTGATGGATTTCACTGTTCTGAATTCTAATGCTGGGTATCTGGATGGGGGAAGCCAGCAAGAATTTCTACCCAGTTTGTCTCTTTGATGATTGCAAACTTAAAGAAAACGTGAAAAGGGTCACCTTTCACAGACTTGTCTCCCTTGGTGTTTGGCAGTGGCTTGTCCAGTCTTTAGAAGTATCTAGATTGGCTTAGATTATGACCAGAAAAAGCACATGAGCCTATGGGAAACAGACACAAAGCCACCAGGTTTTACAGATGTTTTATACTCCCAGCTGCAGTCACATAATACAGATGCAGCCTGACGAAAGAGCCGGCTAACAAGTGAATAACTCAGACACCCAGACTGCCAGTAGTTTCCAACATCTCGTTTTGAAGTCTATTGAAAACCATTTTCTTTTGGAAGAAAAAAATAAAAATAATAACAACAGAAACACTGCTTGCACAAATGATACGCACAAGTGTAATTCCAATCCACAGCTTGACTGCTCTGTAGCCCCCCTCTGGAGTTTGCTCATATCGTAGTTCAAGTCCATGTACCGTACATACGTTATAAATTTCATCTTGGGGTCATGCTTTGGCCTGCGTTTCTCTCTAAACTCACATCCTGTTTGGAGATCTTTCTTTCCACTAACACCTGCCAAGCCCTCTCCTCCTAAACCATCTGTCAGTTGCAAGCTTACCCAATCCGTCATCCTCCTCCCTTAAGATGGTATCCTCTGAAACCCTACCATCACTCTTCCAGCCCCCCCCCCAACACCTCTGCTAACCGCAGGTAGACTCTGCCATCCATCATGGCCCTCACAAGCCCACTCCATCCTCAGGAAACTGAATCCAGTGCCAGTAGAGAAATTATTGCTCAAACAAACTAGGTGATACTCCTGTAAATCATTACAAGAAAATCTAATACTGAGAAAGTGACCTTTCTTGCTTTGTAATTGAGCACTTTGACTTTGCCAAGTTTCAGCTGGTTCACCATTTTAGTGCAAGGGCAAATTGGTGAGGCATTAGTAGTTACTTGTAGGCCTACTTGTACAGTAGGTATCTGCCATCACTATACACATGCAGCATGACAACAGCTATCTTTGTTGCATATATGACAAGTAAACACAGTACATGAAGGTTGTCTTGGCTCTATGGTCATTAACTCAATGATGGGGGGGGTAATTAAGGACTGCCTTAGTAGTTGCTTGGGTATTCTTTGTTTTTAGTTGTAAAGGGGAAGGGATGGCTGCATGAACAGGACCCCAAACTGTTGCTAATTCATTCCAACTCCCCCCCTGTCTTTTCACCAGATTTTCCTTTTTTAGAAAAAGAGAGACATACACAGTTTGGGGGGAGTTTTACAAGTGTTGTGCAGCTAAGCAAACCGCCAGTTTGTGCATCAAGAGCAAGCAGGCCTACCAGTATGCTGTTACAGGGCAGTATATCTCATTGAGAGGTACATGTACAGGAGTATAATTTAGCCAGGCGCACTGCGTCAGTCGCAGTTCAGTTCAAACAGTGTCTGGTCACAGCAAATAAGAGCAATTATCTGGTAAGGAGTGATTGTTTGAATGCATTGTTGGGCTGGACCGCATTTACCTAGGACATGTACATGTACTGTACCTTCCACTGGCAGTTTCCTTTTGTAAATGCTGCCAAAGAAAGACTAGCTATGTTTATTTACCTCCTGGCCAAGGCCTGAGGCAGCCAGGTGTATAGTGTGTACCCAGTATCATTTGCTGTGTCTGGCTCCAGTGAATCAAGAAATGAAATCCAATTAGCAGTGCCCTGCCAGTCAGCCAGTTTGGTCAGGAATTTGCCAGTAGGCTCAGTTGAGCGCCCTCTACTGGATGCCACCAGTCACTGGCAGGCAAAAAATGCATGATGTCTTTACACAGACCAACAATGGAATGGGAAAGGAAGTGTATCAGTCAAAAATGTCAACATTTTTAGTGGCATCATTTTTTTTTAAAGGCCTACAGAAAGGGGTGGGAAAAAATCAAATGATTGACCTCGTTTTGCCCTTAAATCATCTTAAATTATGTTGGACAGTACATGGCATTCTGTGCACAGTACAGTGCTCCAGCAAGAGGTTGTCACAGAGAGACCATTGTTCAAGTTTACTGTTGGCAGAAACATGGCTGATTTGCAGCAATTTGTATTTTTGTGCATGTCAGTAAGACAACTTGAAATGGGGGAAAGAGAAGAGATTTGTAAGGTAGAGTTGACAGAAAATGCAATTTTAGCTTTCTGTCTGCATCAGAAACTTTGGGAACAATTCAAATTCCCCCATATTTGTCAATCGTTTCCATGGCAACTTCTAGGTGGCACACTGTCTAGTGAATTGTATGTGTTGGTTGCAATGCAGTGTGCACTAGTACCTTGACATTGCTGCATTTGCTATTGTCTGAGTGGTTGGTACCAGTACTGGTAGGTCTTTTTCACTTTACATGTATGCATATTTACATGAACACACACTCACAAAACGATACTGTACTTATGACAAAATATGAATTACAGAAGTTGACACCACATCAGACATCAAAAGCCGGTGATTGGCTAGCTGTCTTCTGACTCTGTATCCAATTATGGGAGCCAACTCGGAGGCGAACAGCATTAACAAGTCACACCAAAGTGTACTGCACTTTCTGTTTTTAGAGGGGGGTTTGGTTCCGTTTTGTCCAGCCCTCATTGCTGTCATTTCTGTTCTCTTTGCACACAGGCTGTTGGTCTTCCTGAGGAACAACAACAAGGACTTTGTGCATCTGTGTCATGAGAAGAGAGGATCATCATGGCACACCCTGGACTCACTGTTACTGCTGCCTGTGAGTCATGTGATTTCTTGCAGTAATAATTTGTGCAGTCTATTAACGTAAAAATTCCAGTTTTATATTATTGAGTGATCGATAGTAGCACTGCTGATATTCAAATGCTGGAAAGGTGTAGATGAGGAGGTGTGTTTCCACCGGGCAAAACTGAACCTTGCGCCTTCCTGACATGCCTGATATTTGGCCAATTCCCCCAGGACTTGTTAGTACCCCCTCCCAGCCACACCTTCCCCTCTGTCCTTTCCATTGCTCAGAAAAAGGCTGCACCACTGTTGTGTCTGCCAGGAGACTTTATGGTGGGACTGTGAGCCAGTATTTCCTCCAGAGAATCGTTTAGGAAAGAGACAGCAGACAGGAAAATTGCATTATTATTGAACCCTCAAACTGTTTACACTCAAATCCGTAAATGGCAAATTAGCATTGGCTAGACAAGGTGCCAACGAAGGAAGGCTTCCAACTAGCAGAGTGCCCTGTTAACATGGCATTGATCTCTCCTTCAATGGCCATAAATCAGCAATTTACAGAAAGCCGGCATGGCAGGTTGACCAACCAGAAAATTATTAAGCTTTTGACATTGTTTAGTGGGCTTGTAAATCACCATCATGGGACACAGTGCTGGCCCTGCTTCAACTGCGAAGCTACAAGGATCTACAAGTGTTGGCAGGGTTTGTAAACTTATAAACTTTAGGGGTAAATTCTGTGCCTGCTGTGCCTTGGTATGATCATGGAGCTCCATGGTACGCTGTACAATTATTGCTGTGCCTAATTTTATACTGATATTGTGCTCTCCTGTCCGAGTTCAAGGCCAATTACAGTACGTGCTAATGGTTTGACTGGCATAGGACTTTACTTAGAAGTTTGCCAAGGTTTGAAGGAAAATTGGTTATCCTTCTGTAAAGTTCAGTTTGTGGCTTGTTGGAGGGACAGTTACTGCTGTTTGCTGAACCACAAAAGTTAACTGTACCTATCATTTAGTTGTACCGGTACATGTACATGTAGCTGAGTGTTTCTCATGAACGTGGGCTTTTTTCCGATGTTTATCATACATGTATCTTAAACAGTTATGTGCATCTGTTATCTGGGTTGGACAAGTTTTTGTTTGCTTGGCTGGCCTGGTAGATCCAAAATGGTAGCAATCTGCCTGCAGACTGCCTTCAACCATGCTTCAACCAGGCTGTCTATACAGTAGAAATACACATGTTGACCAGCAGTCAAAAATACCGTATGACTTTCTGGCTGGTAAACTGCACTTACCAATTTCTATTCTGCAAGATGGGCATGGGCTTCATCAGGGCCACTCCATGGGTGGCTGCTTACCTATGGATGTGATTAGAATAACAGTCTTTTTCTGTTAAAACATCATCCACTTTAATGTCCAACAGCAGTAATGCACTTTCAGTGAAGGACATTTGGTAATAAATTTTTCTCTTAAAAAGTTGACTCACAAAGGGCACTTGTCCCTGACTGGAAGTTGTTTAGTTTATGGTATTTGCCCTTAACTCTCATTTCCATTTCAACACTTTTTTCTCTGTAATTGAAGGACCCAGTTTGTAATTATTTTTAGAATAAATACTTAATGACAGCTATTTAAAGGTACAGTAGTGTACAAAATTCCCCAAATTGGACTACCATAGAATCCTGAAGTATCTTACTTGAAAGAAAGTACATAAAAGCCTCAAACAGTCTGTAAAATATTCCCGCCCAGAATGCTGTAGTTTTCAAGAAAATAGATATTTTGTTCTTTTTTTTGACGATGGTTAGTCGGCCATCGTATCAGAGTTCATTTCACTTCACACATCACATTCTTCAACAGGCACCAATTTTCTTGTGTGAAGTGTTTGTAGATGTTCATGGGGGTCTCCATTAATGAGTCGGTAAACCTAAAAGCAGCTAAATAATTATACTGACAAATTCACCAAACACATTGTAAAGTGGAATTATAGGAAACTGAGTGTAAGGTGTAAAATAGGAAATAAATTGGATCAGTATGAAGTTAAATGTTATTTAAGAAAAGGGTTTTTTTACAGAAAAACTTTGCAAATTCAAAATCTTCCCTAGAGCATTAATGGTATGGTCCAAATATGGTGGCTGTTTCCGAGCTGCCGGGTGAAAGGATTTTCATCAACAAAAAGTATGATTTCCACACGTCAAAGCTCCCGTGTTTCAAGACAGAATTTCCTCTTTGCTTACAATTGTTAGTAAGTCAACTAAGAATGGATTGTTTAGACTTTCATTGAATTGTAAACTGTAGTGAAACTGTGGTCATTAAGCATGATCACACGTGCACATTTATTATCATACCGGTATATTACATATATACTCGTTTCAGTGTCACGGACACGAGTCGACTGGATGAAGTTTTTTCATGAATCTGCAATGCATATATCTGTACATTGTTCAGGAGGAGGCGCATTACTCCAGGGTAAATTCACTGATTACTCCTGGCCATTGAAAATTGCTCCTTTTTTAAGGGAAAGGGAACCTGTAGATGTTGTTCGCTTACTACATTACATGTACCGGGTATAAAGACCGTTTAATTCATAGATTTTACACAAGAAGAATAACAAGATGGTTGAAAATGCCGCACTGTTTTTCTTGATTTTTCACAAAGTAGTTGACTCAAACATGAAACAAGTCAAAGGATTGTAAGTTGCAGTGAATATCATACCCCGTGATCAACCAGTCTTGTGAAATTATGACTATAAACAAAGGTGTACATGTACACTACCTACAGGTACTAATCCAGTCTAGTGAGGCCTGGTCCACTCAGGTGCTATAGTCACTCATGACAAAAAGCAAAACTGCAAATTTTACATTACTTTAAGACATACATGTATGACACCCCCCACCCTGATATTTCAAATCACTCACATGTTAAAGCAAAGAAGGGAACACCATTTTGAGCAGAATGTCCTAACGAGACGAGAGGCCTCTTTGTAAATTCCTTTTACAGAAAGAAGACAAGAAACAAATTATGGTGATTAATCACGTTCACCTGTGCCTGGGGGCTTATGTACAGTGTAGCTCTAGTTGTCTTGCGCCTGGACTCATTTATCAAAACATCACTTCTTCATGTGTAAACACATCTGATATTTTCTAGGCCTACATGTGCTTTCAGATATTGTTTTCTTTGAATTTGTCACTGACGAATCGGTTTATTCCATATTTGTATCACTTTACAATGATGCAGTTGCTTAGTCATGCTGAGAATGTTCCCATGCATACCAGGTTGTATCTTAACATGTAAAGCCTATATGTGTTTTCTTCCATTCAACTATTAATTTCTCATAATGTAGTCCAATGACAGAAGAGAACAATGCACAGGTGCATTCCTCTGTCAATCAAGTTAGGGGTCATCGTCTTGTAAGAGGAAATGTACACCAAATTTGAGAAGCCTTTGAATGCATTTGACTGGTTGAACTGATTTAGAATCAGCCAGTATTGCTAACTACATTGTAGGTGTACTCAGGATACTTCTCTGTAATGAGAGCCTAAATTGGTGATTTTGACACAGAATTCGAATTGATCCCTCTTTTTTCAGTATTCACTACCATCACGACGGAAACACAAGTTTCAAATTTTTCATCAATCCAAAAAATTCAACAAGTTGAAAAATATGCATACTGCTCTCCAAACCCGTAAGCTTCCAAGCCGCATATCGCTACCATTTGCCAAATGCCCCGTCTTCTTCAATGCTGGTTGTGTGCTACCGGTATAGAGACCAGCCTGTTTACATGTACATGTAAGTCCTATTTACTTTTCAGTTATATTCTCAAGCTTCAAAATCAGCTTGAGAAAGACAGTGTGAAAGTCAAGACACAACTGTTATCAATTAACTACAACATGTACATGTATGACACTCCCACATTCAGGTAACTCATTTTGTTCCCTGAACATGCCTTCTACGAAGGACAGAACCCAGCACCACCCAATGGCCAAGCAATGCACTCCAGCACCATTGTATCATCCGAGACTTGAAGATATGATCCAGTATTTGGCTGGCTGTGTTAACTTTTGTCAGTACACTCCCTTGCCCTGAATCAAGTGACACTGTCAAAACAAGAACCCTGCAGTGATGGGGGAGAGCCTGTCATGAATCACTGGAAACGAACCTTGATTTCGTGTTGTGCAAATACATTAATTCATCATTTTAGAGTTTTCATGTTGCTAACATTCCTTAAAAAAAGAACACCAAGAAATACAGCAAAGTGGGCACTTTGATATAGCTGTTAAACAGCTACATCCAGTAAAGTCCACCAGATTTAACTGCTTGTGTGCACAATGTAGAATTTCATATTGAGGTATTGTGGCCAATAATGCCACTTTGCTGAGAGTAGAACCCTAACAGCCCTGAATCCTCCAATTTTAATATGATTTTGCACACACCCTAGGGAGTTAGGGTTAACATTCAGGCCAATAGAATTTTATGGTAACTTGAACCCTTCAGCAAATAAGAATTTCACCAGCTGAACCAGATAGCGGAACAGCAGGTATACAATGTGCCTCCTCCCTATTTTCCACAATTTTCTAATGTTTAAGTCGTTTTAGTTTTGTTTAGTGTGTTTGTTTTGAGAGGCATGTCTTCTCTTTTTTCTTCCTTTTGGCTTATTTTGCCCATTTTAGCAGAAACACATGCCCTTGATATTCTGCTTGGGTTTCATTTCAATTTTCACTCCCCCTTTTCATATATGCTGGGCCCATCTCTAAACTCTTGTCATTTCCACAATTTCTGAGAAAACTCATCCATAAAATTAATAATCAAAGCTTTTCATATCTGTTAAATGTCAAGAAACCCACAGTGGGTCAACTCATTTACAATTACTGTGTGTAGAAACTTTCTTATTAAATTTTACCCTGGGCATTCCTGACCCTGAACAAAATATCCCTCTATGAAGTTTGAACTCTTGACCTGGACTGAACTTACTGCCTGCTCAACAATAAAACAGATTGGCAATGTGGACAGGAAAATCGTTAAGGAGGCTTGACAAGAAACTCAA